TTCTTTGGAGTTTTAGTGTTTTGAGTTCTTTATAGTCTTGATTTGAGTTTTGTATGGAACTCAACTGAAAGGATATTTTTAGTTAAACTACATACAGTATTTAGTTACAATGTCTCAAAATGTAGGCACTAAGTCTGACTGCTTAAATACTTGATTATATGACCTTTCCACACGTTACCTGACAGTTCCTAGTTGGCAATGGATTTGGGGATACATTTAAATTTTTAATAATAGGAAACAAAGCTTACAATTTAAGTTGCCTGAAAACAACTGAATTTATTTTTACTTTAGTGAGTTTGTTTTTGAAGTACTGGAGATTAAACTCTGGGCCTTTGCCTGCTAGGCATGTGCCTTAGCACTTGATCAAGTCCCAAGCCGTTTTGTTTTCATTCTGTTTTTTCAGTTACAGTCTCTAACTTTGCTAAGGTTGGCCTCAAACTCATGATCCTACAGCTTTCTGCCTCCATAGTAGCTGGTTTACAGGCATATATCACCACACCTATTGTTTCACTAAAGTTCTAAATTAAATGTGTTCATTCATATGTTCTGTCAGTATATAGTTATTATATTTTACTCTGTGACAAGCCGTATGATATGTTCTAAGAATATTAACATGGTGTTTCCTTTTACCCATAACCTGCTAGCTATCTCACCTTAGACCTGTTGATTGATCTCGTTAAGCCTCAGATTTCTTCAGCTGTAAAAGAGGGATAACAGTACTCTCTCTCAAGTGGTTATAATGCTCAGTAAAGAAAATGTATGTGATGTGCTAACAATATGTAACAAATAATAAACATACCTCTTTTTAATCTTCAGTTGTTCACTGCTGTGAGACAGAACACAGTGCTATATAATTTAGGTTATTTTAAAGGTATAGACATGGGAAAGAAGGGCAGCACTCAGAAGGTTTGCAGGCATTTTCATTAAGAAGGTGAATTATCTTTAACTTACTCTTTATGATGCCCACTTTGTGTGTTCAACACATTGCCTTATTTAATGCTGTAACACCCTGGCCTATCAAAACTGCACTGTGAGGAGGATGACACACAGAAACTGGAGAATTGTTTGAACTGTGTTCAGTCCACCAGGAGGAGGGTGCAGATCAGGAAAGACTCCATGAATAACTTAGAAAGAATAGTATTGGAAATCTTCCTTCACACATATTTACATAGTAATAATCATTCTTATCTGCCAGGCAGGTTTTTTTTTCATTTACTATTGTGTTAGAAACAAGCATATTACCAGACATTTATGAACCCTTTTCAGTGTACCAGGGACTGTACTGCTCCTTATTGATGTACAGAATAACATGGCCTGTTTCCTCTTAGCAGTTTTTTACCTGGTAAAAGAGACAAACATGTAACAGCTGCCTGTTATTGGGTATTTATTGTTTGTCAGCCACCGTGCTGACTTTTTAGCAACACTAGCTTAACAAATCCTCATAATAACCTCTGAGAAATAATTATCCCTATTTTACACATAGGATTATGTCATAAAGAGGTTTGTAGTTTGTCCAAAGTGATATAATTAGAGATTGTTGACTTGATCTCAAGTCTGACTGCAGTGTCTATATATGTCAAATGTCACTTAACAATGGGGATAATTTCTGAGAAGTGCACCACTAGATAGTGTTGTCATTGTATGAACATAGAGTATAGTGATGCAAATCTAGATGGTGTATCATGCTATGCACCTAGGCTATATGGTGTGTTGTGTGTGTGTGTGTGTGCGCGCGCGATGGAGAGAGAGAGAAAGAGAGGAGAGAGAGAAAGATAGCCTGTGGCTCTTCGGGCCATGATAAACAACACAACATGAAATTGAATCAAGCAGAAGAGATAATGATGTGCCATCTAGAGATGTAGTGGGTGGCTACTGTAGGCATAACACAGCATACTGTGTTACAATAAACATTTTTTGTAAGTAGGAGTAACACTAAAATAATGATAAATGAACAGCAAATAAAGAAACCAGTAACATAGTCACTTATTATCATTATCAAATATGTACTGTGCGTAATTGTATGTGCCCATACTGCACTGAGGCAGCTCAGTAGGCTTGATTACACCAGTGTCACCACAAACATGTGACTAATGCATTGTGCTATGACATTAGAATAGGTACAATGTCACAATGCAATAGGGGTTTTTCAGTTCTGTTATAATCTTGTGGGACCACTGTTGTATACGCAATCCATAACTGACCAGAACAGTGTGGCGCTTGACTACATTCTTGTAACACTATCTAATACTAATACTACAGACATTTTAGTAGAATGTGATCCATCTTATAATAGAAATATGAGTGAAGTAATAAGATCACCAAGAAGGAAAAGAGTGAGAAAACAATTCTCAAATTCCATGTTTTGAAAGCTGTTTGCCAGCTATGAGAAGCTCAGAGGGTGCTCAGGGCAGGGAAAAAATCATGGTACAGATCAAATGTTTTAAAAAACAAAACAAAACAAAACATGGGCCACTAAGCCCCAGTGGCTCACACCTATAATCCTAGCTACTCAAAAGGTGGAAAGTGGGAGGATTGCAGTTCCAGACTAGCCTCAGCAAAAAGTTTGTGAGACCCTAACTCAACAGAAAAGGCTGGACAAGGTGCCTGCCATCCCAGCCACTGCAGGAAGCATAAATAGGAGAATAATGGTCTAGGCTGGCCTGGGCAAAAAGCCAGACCCTATCTCACAAAGAACCAGAGCAAAAAAGGAGGCACAGCTAAAGTGGTAGAGTCTAGCAAGTGTAAGGCCCTGAGTTTAAATCAAATCAAATCCAAGTACCACCCCCAACAAAAAAAATGTACCAAGGATAAATTATTTTGTTTCAGATAGCTAATGCTAGGTTTTTCTACCAACAGTGTTTCCTCAATAACGTAAAATAAATTAATAAGAAATGTTATTTGAAAAAATGTAATAACTGTTGTATCATAACAATTATATCATTCTCTTCCATTGCTTGTTCTTTAACATTTTCACAATAAGCTCTTAACAAGCAACTTGTAATAATTTGTAGTATATGGCAAAATGATACTTTTTTTTTAACCAAATTACAGAAGAATCTAAAAACTGTAAGTAACACCCAGTTACCCAGTACTTTGGGATAGTTTTCCACTACTATAGTCATGTAAATTAGTTCAGCCCTTTTGGAAAGGTACTTATAAATATTCAATAACTTTAAAACTTTTCATATCATTTACCTTGTAATTCCACTTCTGGGAGCCTGTCCTAAAAAATATGTTCAGGAGTCTTTATTCCCATTTCCTGCATGGAGAGCAGGAAATGTTTTTCCTTTTTTCCTCATTTCTCTCCACTTTTATCCTGTTACATTAATTCCTTTCCTAATAAACTTTAATATCATTTTTACTGTTAAAAAATAGGTTTGTCATATATGTTTGTTGGCAAAAATTGAAAACTCAAATGTTCAACTATATGGGAATAGCTGAACAAATTCCTCCTAACACTAAATGAAATATTATGCAGCTTTTTAAAAATTCTATTTTATGAAGAGCATAATAGCATGTAAAAACTGGGTTACAAATTTGCCTCTACAGTATGATTGTAACCACAAATGGCAAGCGGGGGGAGCCTGTGCATAGGAAGGGAAAAAAGACTGAAAGGAAGTATGCTGAGTGTCACTATTGGTTACATTTTCTGATGCAGTGAGAATGGGAAGATTTTGTTTTTTCTCAGTTTTTATGTATTTTCCTTGGTTACATTGATGAGTCTAAATATCTAGGTATATCTAGGTGCTGGGAAGATGGTTAGGAGATCTAAAAACAGAGAACTGGAGGTCTTGTCATGCTGCCCAAGGGATCATAATTGCTGCTGCCACCAAATTGCTCTTTGTTCTCTACTTAAGGAGTCACTAGTGGAAAATGTTGAGAACTAATAGCTTTTGCACAAAGCACAAATCCTTCTTAGAGGAGCTTTAATCACTTAATTACTGATTTGATTTTACTTGATTATTTAATTTATCTTTCTTCCAAGTCCTATTGTAAAAGGCAGAAATAGACAAATTTTTAAATGTCATGCAATTATATTAGTATTATATTATAATTATTAGTTATAATGTTCTTTTTTCCTTCATAATTTAGTACTACTGATTTGTTCCTCCCATTCTTAGTATCCACAAACCTATAATCAGTTTTACTGCAAGGGTAAACAACTTAATAGAAGCTATATAAAATACAATTCAACTAATGGTGAACATGATTTGGACATAGTTTATTGTATTACTTGGAAAGTTACTGTAAAGAATATTTACCAAAATAATTATTTGAAGAGGAATTTCTAAAACAAAAAAAAAGTGTAGTGATCCACAATAAGCAAGTCTGACAACAGTTTTTTAATGAGGAAAATGCACATTTGATGCTTTTTCTTAACTATTTATTGGCATTTTAAGATGATTTTTTTAGCAGGCACCTCCTTTATGACTATTACTATAAGTTATGCTGGATTCATTTTAGGTTCCTTTTTAAACACATATTATTTATATAATAACACTTGACATGTAACTAGTTTGAAATATTTTATTGTTTGTTCTCAACAGATCTCCAAACAAGAACAGAAAAAAATGGATGCATTTGACGGAGGCATAACTGAAACCTCATCTCGGTACAGTGGTGCGCAGGACAGTGGAATTGGCAGTGACAGCGTTAAAATCAGAATAGTGCAAATAGAGCAGCATAGTGGGGCCAGTCAGCACCGCATTGCCCAGCCCTCTCGCCAGTCATCAATTGTGAAAAACCTAAATTTTATTCCCTTTGACATATTTATTACTGCAAGTAGAATCTCACTAATGACCTACTCCTGTACAGCCTTACCCAATTCAAAATCACAAGAACAGAAGGAAGATGAAAAAACAGGCAAGGGTTCATTAAATTTTCCAGAAGTTGATTCCGATGTTGCTAAGCCCGACCAGGCATGTATTTCCACAGTGACAGCAGAAGATCTCTTAAGCAGTAGCACTCCTTTTCCTTCAAGGAAAAAAATAGGAGTTCTTTCTCTTGAAAGTCTTCATGCATCCACAAGGTCATCTGCTAGACAAGCACTTGGCATAACTATCGTTCGGCAGCCTGGTCGAAGAGGAACTGGTGACTTACAGCTAGAACCATTTTTGTACTTCATTGTGTCCCAGCCTTCCTTGCTTCTAAGTTGTCATCACAGAAGACAGCGAGTGGAAATATCCATTTTTGATGCTGTGCTTAAAGGGTGGCCTCTGATTACAAATGTACAGGTAAGAGCCTTCAGATTTACTACAGTACTAATAATGACTACTGTGTTAGAGTTTTATTCCCATAGCTTCAAGACTGATCAAACAGAAAACAGCTGGCAGACCAGACAAGCATTCTGTTCTTTACAAACTATGTAAAGTACATGTCCCACAGCTGAATCATGTTTAAGTAAATGTTTGAAATGTATCCAGGTTTAGCCTTAATGTTTTTACTCTGTCTCTGAATATTTGTTTGTTTGGTTTTTTTTATCTTAGAAGCTGACTAAAATGGGGACTCTTTTTTTTTTTTTTGCCTATAGAAATAGAAATGGTTAACAGTTTTCAGTGTTTGGAAAGCAGAGCTTTACATACATATATAAAAGGCCCATAGGTATGCTTTACATGTTATTGGATTAAAAAAGGAAAATATTAGATTATTATTTTGGTGTTCTTTTTGATCTAAAAATCATCTCACTTCAATTGCATAATGTTAAATGTAATCAAGAATGATTATCAGTAAAATTTATGATTTAAAGATTTTTATATATCTACAACAAAATATTTATTAATGGTATTAAAAATATGCTCTTGTGCCCCTATCCATACCTTCCCTATAACACAGAACATCCTATGTTATAATTGTATGGAACTTCTAAAGCTTGTTGAGACTAGGAAAGTGAGCAGATGTTCAGATTTAAGGTATATGAGCTATGAAGTAATAAGGTCCAGTGGAAATGGAATCAAGCAAAGTATGAGAGACCTTTTCCTTGGAGACAGTGTCAAAGACTAGAGAGGGTCTTGGGGTCACCCAAGACTGATTATTTGAAAAGAACCCTAGCAAGTACAGGTATAGTTCAGGCATTTTGTTGTTATCCGGTCTAGCAAATGGAAGCCAGCAGATAGCCTTTTGGAAAATTGGTCTAATTTGAGAATCATGCTGGTTCATTCTTGGCATTAATGAGAACTGTTTTACACTGACCCAGACAGTAGACAGCAGGTGCAGGGATCAAGATTCAGTCCAAGGAAGCTCAGAACATCTCTAGGCTCTAGGCTCTTGTCATCATTTATTCCAAATCCCCTGCCAGTTGCTAAGGAGGAAACCTAGTGTTATCCCCTAGATTTCTTACTGATTCCCTCTCCGGTGGTGTGCTAGAGCTGGTTGGCTTAAAAGAGTTGACTGTTAGACTTTATAAATCACTGGTGGCTTAAATCAACCATGGTGAGAGTATATCATGGATATTGACAAATGCCATCAGTCACGTTTCCTACTCTTGAGAGCCATTTAGTGGCAACCACTGCCTCCCTTCTTCACCTGTGACACAGTAGGTACTTTAGGAGCACCAGAGATTGGGACAGTGCTGGGGAGCATATATGATTTAAGAACCCACGCCTACATATCTGATACCTGTTTGGGGGTCTGCTTAACATTGACTGAAACTAATTGCACGATCAGCAAAATAAATCTTAATTCCCAGCCCCTCCTTACAATCACAGCTACAGGCACTATATAGGCAGGTGGCTTCAGTGGCCCTCTGTGACATAATGGGAAAGACAAAGGAAAGTAGGAGGGGGGAAATGGATGATATGAATAGCTTTGACCTCTTCCCAAGCTTGCATTTGTATATGTGCAGCAATCAGAGAAACTCCTTTTGCTTACTTCAAGCCCAACCTAAGGATACTCTATATATTCTTAGCCTTTGAAACTAACTTAGCTGACAAACAAAGGCCCATGGTAATAGATGAGAACTGCCAATGATATGCTAGTTTTCATTTTCCTAAACTATAGGAGTAGGTCTGGTGCTTCAACTCATTTTATTAATATACTCCCAAATCATATGTTTATACATTTCCATCTAAGTCTATATTCAGCACAGTTACAAAGGTTCATATCATACCAAACATTCATTTGGGTTAGAGTTTAGAATAATAAATTATATAATATATTAATTATAACATTAAGTATGTTATATTAATTACTAATTCATAATTTAGATTAATAAAGTTCTTCTTGCTAGTGATTCTCTTAAGTAAATCGGTAAAGTTTTTGAAATCACATTTTTCCCTCCTGTCTTATATAGTCACTTGACTTACTACCTTAGAATGAACTTCTTACCCTTATTGAGCTTTCATTTCCAGCTTCAGACAGTCTTTAGTTATAGTCATGCATTCATTCAGTTTGAATACCTACTATGTATCAAACATGTACAAGATGCTAAGAGACCAGTAATAAATAACACCCAGTTACTGCCTTCAGGCACCTTGCTTAATAACTGTACTGATTATGATTAATTAAGGTTTATCAGAATATAGATATTCATGAAGTAAAGTGCTTTGAAACACATGAGTTCATATCTGTAACTTCACCTTCTAGAGAGGCAATTTTGAGAAGCTAGTATCAGTTGTATGGGGTGGATTAAGGGAGCTGCTTGATTATGGAGGACTGCTCTCTAATTTTTATTAGTGTATTTTGCTGTAGCTATATTTAGAATATTTCTTAAAATTCTGTTTAATTTATTTGCTTTATGGCCATATTTTTTGTAATATATTTTTGTCATTGCCCTGGGATTTCCAATATACATGTCAGATCTTTCACAGTTGCCTTAGAGGTAATATTTTATTACTTCAGGAAAAATGTAGAAGACTTGCACTCTCATAGTTTCCTTTACTCTCTGTAGCTAAGTTTTGTCTATATACACTGAAAACTCTACCACATAAAATTTTGATCTTTGTTTCAATAATCTTCTGTGTTTTAAAAACTGAAGAACAAAAAAGTAGTCTTTTATTCCTAGATGTTTATTGTGTCCATTGTTCTTCCATCAATCCTAAAGTTCCAAGTTACCCTCTGGTGTATTTTTCTTCAGTATTAAAACTGGCTTTTGCATTTCTTTTAGAGCAGGGTTGTTAGCAGTGAATTTTTCTTGAATTCTTGATTTTCTTGATCTGAGAATGTTATTATTTCCCCTTTCTCATTCCTGAAGGATATTTTTGCTGTATATAAAGTTCTGTGTTGACATTTCTTCCAGCACCTTAGAGATTGTTCCATTTTCTTGTATTCTCCACTTTTTTTTTTTTTTGACAGTGCAGTACTGTTGTTTGATCTCGGGGCCTTGAACTTGCTAGTTAAGTAAAATACTCTATTACTTGAGCCATCAGGACATCCTAGTCCTCCTGCTTTTAGTCTGGGTGTCATATATGGTCATGCACTTTTTGCCCAGGCCAACCTTGGACAGTAATCATCTTACCTCCACCTCCCATGTAGCTGGGATTAAAGGCACACAGCACCATGCCACTTTGTTTGTTGAGATAGTGTCTTGCTAACTTTTTGCTAGGACTGGCCTCAAACCACTGTCTTCCTGATTGATCTCCACCTCCTAAGTACCTGAAATTACAGGCATAATCCACCATGCCCAGGCCTGTCCCCCATGGTTTTTGATGAGAAATGTATGCTCATTCCAATCATTGTTTCCACGGTTGTCTGTCCAGCTGTTCTCAAGATTTTTTTGGTTTTCTGTAGGTCATAATGTACCTGGGCTTGGCTTTTTAATGGATCCTTTTTGAAGTTCTCGGGCTTTCTGACTCTGTAAATTTATGTTTTTTCTTTTATTTCTGCTAAATTTGGGTGGTTTCTGGTCATTATTTCTTTAGTTTCTTTTTATACCACTCTATCCCCTCCTTCTGGGACACTAATGCTAATTTTAATATTGTCCTACCAATCTCTGAGACTGCTTTCTTATCCTCTTCCCTGCCTCGTCATTCTTTAGATCAAATAATTTCTTTGATTTGTTTAGCTCTAAAGTGTCCATCTTGTTCTCTTTTTTTTTTTTAGTATCTGTTTCTCTATATGTTTCCATTCATTTCAAGCATGTTTACCTTTATTTATATATTTACTTTTTATTGTTGCTATGCTGGGTGGGGTACATTGGAGTATTTATAAAGGTTCTTACAATGTATCAAATACACCATACTTATTCACCCCTCCACTGCTCTCTTTCATCCTCCCCCCAATTCCCAGAACAGTTTCAACAGGTGTCATTTCTGCATTTACTTACATAGGCATTTGCCCCATGAAGTAAAGTTGTAATAGCTGCTTAAAATCCTTCAGTGTCTGAGTTACTGACACTAAAGCACAGTTATCACACGCTACACACACACACACACACACACACACACACACACACACACACACACACACACACACACACACACACACCAATCACACAGAAAGGTTTCCCCCCACCGTTGAAACCACAGGACCTTATTCTTAGAGAGGGTTTCTATTGAGTTTGGACTATTTCCTTGCCATCAGCATGCACCACAACTCGGGGCTTGCTCTATAGTCAAAGTTAAAGAGAGAAAGTAGAAACAAAAACAAACTGGGAAACTCACTAATAAAAGGGTCATATCCACAAGTTTGATTCCCCTTTCCAACTTGTGAATGCTCAGGCATTATTGCTTTTTATATTTTTGTAGGGTTTTTATTGTAAGCAGCATGCAATTTAGGCTGCAGCAAATTTATTCCACTGTGGCTGGCACCACGGTGGTGCAATTTAAATATAATACTTTCTAGCCGAGCCTTGGTTTCTAAGAAATTTAACACAGGAGTTCCTCCAGAGTCATACTCTTATTTCATTACATCTGTGAGCACAGATGAGTTAAATATACCATAGTGGATCATTACTGCTCCCAGGGAGTTGCCAGCAGTCACTTCATTCTGCCCATGTCACCAATAAGCAAAGAGCTTGTCCAAATATTCCAAGGGTGGCAGTGGTGTTCACTTTCTGTTCTGTAGGGCTTTCCTTTCATATAAAAGAAATTTAGAAGAGGAAATGATATGGAATGTCCCCTCTTTAGCCTGCCTTCCCCAGCACACATAACACACACGTGTGCACAAGTGTGTTTGCATAATATATAGTATTTTTTGACACAGGGTCTTACTGTGTAGCCAGGCTGGCCTATAACTCATGATCCTCCTACCTCAGCCTCCTGAGTGCTGAGAACAGACATGTACTTCTAGACCCAGATTATATTTGTGTTTATTATTTGTGTATATTTATATACAGCCTAAATTCTACAGAATTCAGAATAGGTGACAAATGAAATCTAGAACAACATTTATTTTAGAAAGCTAAAGTGAAATAAAAATGATAGCAATTACTTATTATTTTGAATGTTTTATTAATAAAGTACAATCCCCAATCTGCATAATTTAGTGATCCCAAATTACACTAACCATATCTCGAAATCCATACAGTACTATACATTTTTTTTTAATTTAAAAACTAGCAGATTAGTTAAACACAAAAGTATCAACTTGAATTTCTTTTTTGAATACTAGTAATAATCTACTTCAAGTAATTTTCCATGTAGTCCAAGTAAATGTCTGTAAGCTAACAGATAATGATCTCTCCCTTTCTCTCTCTCTCCTTCCCTCCATCTCTCTCTTCCTCCCTCCTCCGTCCATTTCTTTCTCCTTTCTTCCCTCCCTCCCTCTTCCTTTCTCTTAGGGGTATTTATTAATTGTTTAAGGGGTTTAAAATATTGCAGTAATATGGCAATGGTCTTTTCCATGCCCTTTCCACCTAGAGCTGAAATGAGATCTTCTGCCAGCACCTTTATATGTATCAGCTGTATTATTGGCAATTCTCATTTAAATAAAGATGTATGTAGTTGTTTTTAACATAATCATATTAGTTAGGTTTATAAATATTTAAAATTTGGTATTTGTTTTGTTTAAGGTAATAGAGTCCAGATTTGAAATTGCCTCATAACTTGACTATGTAGCCCAAGGCAGCCTCAAAATGTCATTTTTCTTCTTATTTATTTAGGGCTTCTTTATTTGTTTTGAAGAAATGTTTGTGCCATCTGGTCAATTGTGAAGGAGTTCAACACTAACCACTGTACTTCTTTAGTATACAGTTATTCCGGTATCGCATTACTCATTAATGTGTGTGAGGACCCAACAAAGAAACCAGCTGACAACAGTTGCCTCACCCTGTTATAACTTCTTTACCTGACTGGAACTTTTCAAATACCAGCTAGACTAAATACAGAATTTAGAGTTCACTAGAATGGATTGACTAAAAAATCAGATAATAGCACACTTTGACAGTAGCATCCAAGAAATAATATCTCTAGTATGGGACATTTTCTACAGTTTGATAGTCTATAAATGCTATAGATATGACTTAAGATCTACTTCAGAGACAAACATGGAATGGAGTCCAATGAGAACTCTAGATTTGGAGCTAATCAGTCCCAAATTCTAATCCGAGCTCTGCTTTTACAGCCATGTGACCTTGGCTTATTTTAATCTCTGTAAAGTACAATCTCTGAGAGTTTTAATGAGGATTAAACAATGTATGTGACATTCTTACCTAGGTGTGTGGCACTCAATGACGGCTAATATTGTTGTGGTTGCCTTTATCATTATTGTTACAGTCTTTAAGTCTGTTTTAAAATAGTAGTTGTGATTGGCCAAGAAATACTCACATTATTTCAGTGTAATTGTTGCTATTATGTAGTTAAATTTTTCACTTACAGTAATTGACTGTTTTACCCTTTCGTGAGTAGGACTACAGAAAATGTGCCAAAGACATTGAGTAAACCAACAGTTGAAAAAATCATAAACTAGCTTCTTACACTTCATAAATCATACCTTGATTTCATTGACCTGATTTTATTATGACTTTAAGAAAAGGATTAAATTACACTTCTTTTTAGTATTAAAGTTTTGCTAATGTCCCTGGAAAGGCTTAGAATTACCCCATGACTTTAATGTCAAAATGATCACGACTCGAACATTTATCTGCAAATGTAGCTGCTGTGAGTATTTCTTGTAGTCAATTATGTGAAATAAAACTATTACTTTCACAGGCATCAGCAAGTAAATAGATCTTTTAAATGAGCACTGTAGTGCATTATGCAGTGAGAAAGATGATAAGAAGGTTAAATAGGAAATGATCCAGCCACTGAGGGGTATTAATGTTAAGTAGGGAAAACATTGGGGAAGAAATCAGAAAACTTGACTTATACTCTTGGTTCTGATGTCAAAGCTCACTGGTTTAGGTAGTTAAGTTTCTTAGTGCCTTAGTTTACCTATCTTTAAAATGTATATAATAATAATAATAATATGTGGTCTTTGAACTTTAATGTTTTAATCTTAGCTCCAAATGCAATATTTATGAAATGCTTTAGAAATATAACTCATTATTCAACTATAAGTTGTGACTTGTCATTGTTAGCAGTAGAAGTAAGAACATAACAGACCTTCATTTTTGGACATGATTAGTGTCCTGTTCTTTGTGACATCCATTTTAATCAGCATTTAATTAAAATGAATGAAAAATGTGGGAAACATTTAAAGACCTGATTCAGACTTTGCTGAGTTTTTATCATAAAAATATTTGAAGCCCACATTTTAATTTGACATAAACTACCAAACAAGGAAGAGATCAAGAATATCACAGTCTAGAACAGAAAAAAATAATAGCATTAAGTAGGAAGAGCCCACTTCCTTTCAGCAAGGTATGGAAGACTTGGTTATAAAAGTAAGAGCTAGTGACACTAGTGGTCAAACATCCCAGCAACCATTTTAACCCCTTCTTCTTCCTTTTCCTTTGCACTGAAGACCTGGGGTTTTAAGCGAGGAAATCTCTTGTCCTTCCCATCACATTTAATGAGGTTCAGAATCACAGAGGGTGTGGAAAACAGTGCTTATGGAGTTCACCAAGTATCTGGTGGTATCCACAAGGAGATGATGCCACTGGAGTCCAGAGGTTGATTTTGCTGCCCTGGCATTAAATTATTGTGATACTTTCTGGAACTTGCTTCCTTCACAATTTAATTTGCAGGTATTATAGGGGCCTTATGGACCATAACTGTTTCTGTGGTTATATTTTAAAAGAAAAAGGATAGCTGTTTAAGCTGTGAATCATTAAAAAAAATCTAGGGAATTTACAGCTTATAGCTTTGCCTTTACATGTCCATTTGTCAAGAGGTGACTTCTAATAGTAACCTCCCATTGCAGGGGTTGTTCTTTGGAGCTGTTGGGCAAACTGAAACCAAGTACAGACACAACTTCTGACTGAGTTCCTTTGG